GATCAACAGAACAGGGAATTAAGTAAATCGTGGTGAGTGCAGAGTACAGAAGATAACCAAGAAAGATGGGGGAGACCAATATTATGACTGCTAGAACAGCGGAAAGAAGAGATTAACAATTACCATGAGCAATAATGGACAAAACCTGACTTCTTGCCAGCACAGAGAGATGATCTGGACAAACAGTAGGAAACAGGTCATTGCAGCTGTGGCTGGTTTGGTTTGGAGGATGTGAAAGTGAAGGAAGTCAAGAGGAGAAAACTGCAGCAATCAAAGCAGAAGACGGTTAGGGTGTACTTCGGTATCATGGAAGGAGTGAGAAATCCAGATTTTATAGGTGTCATGTTGCATCACAGGAAAGATCACAAGATTATCAAGGGGGAAAGAGGGAACATGATGAGAATTTGGGGGAAAGTCATTAAGCACACATGCTTTCTGTTAAGTTCTATTCAAAACTTGACAACTGCTTCCCCTGAACTACTTTGTGCTTATCTTAGAGATAAGGGGGTGCGGTTGGGGTGTCAAGTAGACAGAGTATGACTGAATGCCAAAGAAAATCAGGAAGAAAAAGGGACACCTTTCTCAATCAGCATACACCTATTGCATTCACTGATTGCTCTGAGTAGATAATTTCTATGTTATTTAGGGTAGGGCTTAATCCCAGAGCACCTATAAATTAGAATCATAGTCTAGGTTGGAAGGGACCGTTAAGATCATTGAGTCCAACCATCAAGCTCACACTGCCAAAGACACCACTAAACCATGTCCCTCAGCACCACGTCTACCCATCTTTTAAAAACCTCCAGGGATGGTGACTCCACCGCTTCCCTGGGCAGCCTGTTCCAACGCTTGATAACCCTTTGGGTGAAGAACTTTTTCCTAATATCCAATCTAAACCCACCCTGGCATAACTTGAGGCCATCTCCTCTTGTCCTATCACTTGTAACTGGTAAGAAGAGGTTGACCCCCACCTCTCTACAACCTCCTTTCAGATAGTTGTAGAGAGTAATAAGGTTTCCCCTCAGTCTCCTTTTCTCCAAGTTTTTCCTCTCCCAATGCCCATCTTCATTTCTTTGCCCTCACAGCACTTAGATCCCTCCACCCTACCACGGTATCTGAGATAATCAACTCCCAGCCTTCTGGCAACCCTATGTCCTCCCAAAATGTCTTTGCCAGCTCCTCCTCACTATCATCAGCATAAATGCATGAGAGCAAAGCCATTTTTCCTGTACAGTGTTTGTCAT